GTGTCTTCCCTTCCCACTTTTGCCACCCAAGCATCCTTGGGCCAGGAGCCCTCTGGAGAGTCCTGCCCCGATGGCGGCTGCCGCCCCGGCCGGTCACCTTAGCAAACCGTCGGAGGAAGCGGTACGCGATGGGGATGTTGATGTCAAAGTGGAGCGTCTGCAGGATGCTGATCTCGGTCGCCAGCAGCTCTTCCTTCTTGTAAGCGTCATCACAAATATACAAGAAGTCGTCCACACAAGGCGGGCAGCGCTCCTGCGGAGAGACCAGGGGAAAAGAGGAAGAGAGGCTACCTCTGGGTCGCGGCTGTCTGGAAGGAAAGGGGCTCTGGACACCACAGCTTGAGCCCAGAGCCACTTCTCCTCTGGTGCCGGCCGGGGAGGCCTCGTGGCCGGCTCAGGAGAGCCCATCCGTGATGCCAGGAGGATAATCTGGCCTGTCTCACCTCGAACTTGGAGGCAATGAGGATGGCTGTGGAGCCAATCAGCTGCAGCTTGTCCCGCCTGGTGGCCACCTTCACCAAGTAGTGGTCCATGAGCTTGACGGCCAGGTAGAGGGTCTCGTGGGTGAGCTCAAAGTTCTCCTGAGGGAGAGACAGAAACCGAGTTGCAGGTGCTCAGCTCAAGACCCTCTGACTTCCCAGCCCATCATTTCCCTGCTCTGAGAGGCAGACGCTCTCCAGGGCCTTGAAGAGCAGAAACAGGACTTTCCGAGTCATGATGGAGATGTCAGTTCAAGGAGGAAATCAGGGACTTTATAACGACCACCCCATAAACACTGCCCAAGCACTTTTGGGAGAAGGCAAGTCTGGGGAGCGTCAGGGCCAAGGGATGGAGGGGCGGAGGCACCTGGGGCTCAGTAGGAGACCCTGCTCCCAGCCCACAACCAGGGAAGGCTACAGCCTTTACCCTGGGAAGGAGGGAGGGCAGGCAGGCGGGAGGGCAGGCAGGCAGGCGGGCGGTGCTCCTCTCAGACCTTAGAAGCCCAGGAAGGTGTGAGGCCACCCCCTGGCTCCCGTCTGGGAAAGGCTCTCCCAAGGAAGGCACAGCCACCCCTCTTGGGGACCTCCCAGGGCCAGGACACCATGCACACCCCCAGCGCACGCGCACGCGCACACACTCCTCCCCAGAGAGAGAGACCTTTTTCTCATTCGCTTCTTGGCTCTGCACTGCCTGCTGGGCATCTCCCTCCAGGCTCGCCCTCTGCCCCACGGGAAAGGAGGGCAAGTGTTGAGATGTGGCTGAGCAGAACCCTTCCTGGACCAACACCCACCTGCACCTCCACCATCCAGTCCACTAGGATGGCGCGCATGTCCCTGGTGATGTCCGGCTGATTCTCCATGTAGTCCGGGAGCACAAACTTCTCCTGGGAGTGGGGGGGGAGGGCAGAAGAGAAGGAAGAGGGAGCTGATTATCTCCATGAGGGACTGGCACAACTCACTGAGAACCAACAAGCCAGACAACATAATCTGCATTTTAATTAACAACTCTTTTTATTCAGTCGGTTGCCATCTCCCATGAATGAGACTCAGGGGGACTTATAATAAGGCAGTGCAAACACATGGAACAAACAGAAGTATAACAAATTAAAGCACAACTTAAAAACACACCAATAAACAAATAGCGCATCAGTCATCTAAATAAAAGGCCTTTGGGCAGCCAGAAAGGTTAGCTGCCAAAGGACTGCCAGGCTAAAAAAGGCTTTTTCCTGCTTCCAGAAAGGCAGGGCCAGAATGTGGCCCTAAATTCATCCTTAGCTGCAGGCAAGCTCCCTCTGTTCCCTTTTCCCATCCATCCCAGACTGCAGAAGAGAAGGCTGCACTCTGCATCCCAATGGATCTCAACCTCAGTGGCTCTGGGGAGGCTGGGGGGGGGGGCGGCTCAGCTTCAACGCCCGACAGGTTGAGCCAGGGATTCAGGGAGCTGAGGTCCAAAGGCTGAGATGGCAAAGCTGAGCCTCACTGGGGGAGGAGGAAGGGCCATTCTGTGTGTGGGACTCCCCCTTCAACACGCAGCCTGCCTCGAGTCCCATCTTACGAGAACGGCTCGCACTGATCATTTCCACACTGGCTAAACTGAGAAAGAAAGAGGAAACATTTCAGAATTTCTCGGTGCCCTAAAGTCGACTGCTTCAGAACGGAAGTCCGGGAACCGCCCGCAAAGCTGCCCTCCTCTCTGAGGTACCTCACGTTCCCGCATGTAGGCGAAGATGTCCTTAGCGTATTCGGCGCTGGCGTAAGGGTCGTCCCGCTGGCCCTTGTCAATGTCCTCAATCGGCGGCTCCTGTCCAAAGAAGGGTTTTGAATCACATCAGCAAAGAGCGGAAAGCCCCAGGAATGAATTTCAAAAACTGCCCTGGACCCTTAAGGGGCCGAGAGTTCCGAAATGAGGACAAAAGGGCTTGATTTCACACACAAGACAACAACCTGGGAGAGAAAAGCTCCGAGGAAGATCCAGGGGCTCCCATTTCCTCTCCTCAGAAGCTGGCTCATGAGCTCAGACTTGAAAGACCAGCCTTATTTATTATTTTTATTTATTGGATTTCTATCCCCCCCATCTAGACCAAAGGTCTCCTCCTCTTGGCTGGGCTTTTAGCCAGCCTGTTTGCCAGCCCCAGTGTAGGCAAAACACTTTGATGCAGGATGAGCCAGCCCCCGCCACACCGGACAGCCCCCCTCCTCCATCATCTCTGCAACGAGGATAGTAAACATGTGCTACAATCCCAGGACGAAAGCAGCAAACTTCAGGTGTGGCTGCATCACACTGTAGGTACATCTGAGCCCCCAAAGACAGGAAATAGTTTCCGGCAACTGGATATTTCATGACACATCGCATCCTTGACTTTCCTGGTCCAGAGGCACGTGGCAACTCGTGAGCTCCTGCAAGGTTCTTTTCTTGGTGTGGCTGCAACAGGTGCAGAGGTGTGCCAACCCTCCCCCAAAAGAAAAAATTAGCCAGAACACCAGTAAGCCCCCCCCCCCAGCTTTTTGGTACCAAAACCGCAGGCTCCGCAGGCTGCAGGGCAGCATCATCCTTCTGTGTCCGATCCTTCTGGGCCAGGGAGTCAGAGTTGGTGGTGGAGGCATCCTCAGAGGAAACTTTGTTCAAGGACCTGAAAAGCGAAAAAGGGCCAGTTAAGAGGAGGGGGGGGGAGAGAGGGAGAGAAGAGGCAATATTTGAGCGGGTCCCCTTCCAGGCTGCCTCGCCCCGCCTCTGGCGTGAGTGACGCGAGGGTCCGCCTGAGCTCTCCCAGGAACAAGAACAGGGTGGGCAGGAACCCCAGGAGAGGAGGAGGGGGGAGTCTCTGCCCGTGCGCGCGCATGCGGTGCTTCCCTCTCTCACTTCTTCAGGTTGATCTCGTTGTTCCTGGCGACGCCCGGCACCACGGCCACCTTCACAGCCTTCTTGGGGGGGCCCTTGGCCGCCTCCTTCTTGGCCACCCAAGGCCGCGTCTTGTGAGCCTGCAAGGGAGAGACCTGGAGGCTGGGATCAGGTGGGCCTGCTCAGGAGGAGGAGAGACACTCGGGAGGAGAAGGCAGAGCTGCACCCCTGCCGTCGCTCGCTCACCTCCCCTGGCCACCCTTGGCAATAGGCAGCAATCGGAAGATAAACCCGTCCCCGTGCCCCCCCTCCCGCTGGCACTACTCGTCCCTCTCTTTTGGTCCACGTCCCCAAAGCGGTGGCCACCCAGGCACAGCCTTCTCCCCACCCCCAGCACCCCTACAGCCCTACTTACATTGGTGATGTCCCCAAATGCAGAGCGCTTTTTGGGTGCCCCCTGGGGCGAGGAGGGGGAGCGCTTCGCCTGACAGCTCTCCTCCTAAGGCAGACGGGGGGGAAAAGAGAGGGGAGGCAGGTGAGGACGAGACAAGACACAGCCCGTGGCCCAGGCCTTCCCCTGAGCTCACCCTGCACCTGGAGGCAATCCTTAGGGAGACAGAAGGCAGAGGCACGCCAGGCAGGCCGAAGAGGCGAGAGCGGCCGGCCAGGCCAAAGGCAGCCCTTTCTGATATGGCTACGCTTGAAAGAGACTGGACAGTGCCAGCTGCTGAACCACACACCCCCCCAGACCTGTCCCACTCGAGCTGTGGGGAGGGGGCAGGTTTACAGGTCAACAGAAGGACAGAGGTTCCCGCTTCCCAGAAGCGAGCCCGTGGGGGTCCGTGAGCAGCAGGGGCGACGGCCTGTCTCCTATCCAGCTGGTGTGGCCTTCCACGTGGAAAAGAAGGTGCCACGCCAGCTGGGTCTTGGGCCAGATCTAAGGGCAGAGTCATCGTTCTCTTCTCTCTCAAAATGAGGTATGGGATGCCCAGCTGTGCGTGGACAGGGTGCTGAACACACACAAAGGCACTCAGCGCAAGGCGCTGGGTGTGTGGATGGGCATGCATGCCACAAAGGGTGTGTGTGTGTGTGTGTGTGTGTGAGAGAGAGAGACGAAGCCCCCTCCCAACAGCAAGGCCCTCCCTCACCTTCTTCTCCTCCTGAGCATTCTCCACCGCCACCGCTCTGCCCAGCCACGGCTGCTTGATGCCCACGTTCTTTGAGTTGCGCGGAATGGGCATCCTTCCGGCTTCGGGCGTTCTGGAGCACAACTGGAGATGCAGAAGAAAGGGGGCAGCTGGGTGACAAGGTCATGCCCTCCCAGCCAAGGTCATCTCCCACTGCAACTCCCCTGCCCCTGCCGGGAGCCTTCCTTGACCAAACAGCCTCAACCTCTCACTACTCAGGGTTGTTGTGGGACCCAATCTGCCCCATGCGGGAGCCAACAGGGGCAAGTGGGGGGAGGAGGGCCGTGGGGTGAAAGGCAGGGACCACATGCAACCACCGGAGGAAGAGGAGGGCTGGCAGAGATCCAGGTCTCTTCCCTTTCTCACAAAAGGAAAAGAAAAAAAGAAAAACTCTGGACGGCGTCACCTGTTGAATGCCTGCCTGCACGGTCTACACAGCCTACCAGGGGGGCAAAATGGTGCCCAAACGGAGGGTGCAGCCAATAAAGGGACAAAAGCCAACCACCCAACCAAGAGACCTGGGGGCCCCTAAATACGACCCGGTTTTACTGCCCCCCCCAAGAGGCAGGAGGGCCCCCGCCAGGCGGACGAGGCCAGGGCCGCCCTCCTCCAGGGAGACCCACCGGGGCGGCAGCCTCGCCATAGGAGGGCGGGTGCAAGGAAGGCCCCCCCCACGGAGCCCCACGCCCTGCTCCC